ATCACTGTATCAAAAGCAGAGAAGTATATTTTAATCAAGGTAAGTTCTTAGCATATATACAGTGAGAGAAATAGTCCTCTGTGTATACATTCTGTTTGAATACCTGTTGACAACAGCCAAGCAACTGGCTGAGGTCACCGCCATCTATGACTCGAGAAGCCTCGTACAATGATAATTGCTTCGTTACCAGTTATTAATATCTTCACCAGTTCTCAGCTCTTATAGTTGTGTGTCAAATAACAATAGTTAGTGTCTGGAGTTAGCAGTGAGAGTGTTAGAGGTGGTACCGGGAGAAAGAATTACATGGACCTAGGGATACTTGGCTACTACAGTGTTATCCAGGGTTAATGGAGTGTTATTATCCAAGTGTGAGGTACGAGGTTGTGAGAGACGAAGTGGATCATCTGTCATCCATGGATGATGCTGTCACTTACACCTCTCCACTCCACACCACCATCTTCACCGCACGGTAATATTCTCCACACACTCATGATGCAACATTCAGTCCTCTCAGATGATTTTTATGTTCACGGAGAAGTTCTCGGAGAATGGGAAGCAATATCAGTGTTGATCGGAGGAGAGGGAGGTTAGTTCCAGTTGCTCATATCTAGAGTTCTTCACTGTATCAAGGCACCCTCCCCCCCCCCTTCCTCTTGTTCTTGAAGACTCTGTTCTTTAAAAGAGTCTGGTGTGAAGCTCTTAATAGTCCGACATTTTGCTCTTGTCAGGACGATTGGGACTGATCTCCCCACTTACCACTTTGTTAATACTCATACTGTATATTCATATTCGACCAGTGACAAGTTTTTGCTTTGTTTCGTAAGTTACAAGTCTTGATAGATGTTCTCATTGTTAAATAACACTGACTTTACTGTAAATAAACACAACATAGCTTCATCGAAATGTCAACCCCATGAGCATCACGGTAACAAATTCTTCCAATTGAAAGTAAATTTCTATGCTTTTGTCGTTTTTCTGGACACTGATTCTTGTCTGAGTGCAGTAAATTCCACTGGCATAATCTTGAATAAAGTAATTTTTTATCTTTCTCTGGATAAGTTAAAATCGTGCACTAGATATTGTTATATATACTAGATATTGTTCCTTGTTGTTGACATCAACTGGTTCAAGTTGGGAACCTGACTTACTCTCTTTATCCTTATCACAGAATATAATATAATATATATATATATATATATATATATATATATATATATATATATATAGGATGGTGGTACTGGAACAGGGAGATCATTTCTGTTCCACCTTTCTCATTGCAGAAGGAAAATCTGCATGTTTTATATATATATATATAATTTATTTATAAAAATCTCGACACTTGTGATGAAAAATTAAGACCTTTTAATACCTGGGTGTTAAAAATAATGTACATATCATTAACATGCACAATTATATATATATTTCTCTGCATTAGAATTTTAAGGGCCACTCTGCACTGCTCCTTTTGCATGCATTGAGGTAGAGGAGGCTAGGCTTGTGAAATATAGGGACACCTTTCTAGGATGAAGCATTGAAATATGTAGTTATAATCATGGATGAGAGCTAAACCTATAGGAGCTACGAATGTGAGGGGTATGGCAGGTAATCACATTTGATCCAGCAGCTCAGATTCCTCGGATCCAGAGCCCTTCACCAGCCTCATCACCGTCTTAAGAGAGCAGGTTATTGACTCGCATCCCAGGTGAATTACATGCTGACTGGCGCCTCTTAATGTCAAATTTGCATACGAATGAGAGGAAGACGAGGCTGTAGATATATTATGGAATGACTGGATTATATCTTTGAAGTTTTAAGCATCCACACTCACCCGCTGTAGTTAATTATAAAGCCACACCTGTCAGTCACCTGCTATTGTTAATTATACAGCCACACCTGTCACTCGCCTGGAAATTGGCCACATCCATCTGCCAATTACCAGTTATCAGCACCTTCCAGTCACTAGTCCTCAGGTGAGTCATCCACCCACACCTGTCATCCACCCACACCTGTCATCCACCCACACCTGTCATCCACCCACACCTGCCATCCACCCACACCTGCCATCCACCCACACCTGCCTTCCACCCACACCTGCCTTCCACCAACACCTGCCTTCCACCAACACCTGTCTTCCACCCATCTCAGTAGTACCAGTAACCAGTTTACTGGTACTGCTGAGACCTACACCTGTCTTCCACGCACACCTGTCTTCCACGCACACCTGTCTTCCACGCACACCTGTCTTCCACGCACACCTGTCTTCCACGCACACCTGTCTTCCACGCACACCTGTCTTCCACGCACACCTGTCTTCCACGCACACGTCTCAATTACTCACCCACACTTGCTAACCACCCCACATCTATTAATCACCCTCCCACACCTCCAGATGTTTACAAATGAACGTAAATTGAGATGGCTTGCCTCTCCCCGTCTCCTATAACCAGTAATACGATCAGTTTTCCCCGTAATGCCTTCCAGAACTTGCATATATTGTGCATTAATTATATAACCTTGCTCAATATAGGACGCAGCAGAAAAAAAAAATATTATTCAGTAAGAGTGCCAGAAGCTCTGGGTGACCCACCACCTCTCCCACGTAATTTTAACTATCATAGAATTTGAATTAGAATTTGCCCCTGGGAATGGGGTGGCCGACTGTGAGTATTGTGGAAGGTTGGACCATCCTGTTAACGTCGAGCCTCTTATCACTGCTGAGTTATCAGTAAACCAGGAAAACTTTTAGACGCTGTCTGCAATAGTTGCTAAGCTTGTGGCTTGTAGCTAGCACCACACTCTCCTTCCCAGTGATGATAGGCTTTTAACCCCATTAAGTATTAACCTCTCCTGTTCCTGTTTTCTGTTTCAACTCCCTCTCTCCTCAAGCTGGGTCATCGTCACCCGTCAAATGAAGCCTCAAGACTAACGAGGGGCTCTTTAACTAAGGAATTCGAGCTACCCTCTCCTTGGATTAACCCTGATCCCCTCCCCCCATTTCCCAAGCGCTGCCCTGTGAAGATAAAAATGGGTCAAGTTTTACGGGGTTTTAAACTGAGAACTTCATGTATTCCATCTACCCCCCACCCCTCGCCCTCGGCAGTCTCTACTCAAGGAATCTAACACTTTCTCCGGTGTAATTGGCTAGGATATTCCTGCAGTGGTTACAGTGTGAGAACCTCATCATTTAATTAAAAACCTGCTTGTAACAAGTTGGTGTTCAAGGTGGTGTACAATCATACTGGTGTTGGGTTCTTAATTCAGAGAATTTAGTTACCCTTTCCTTCCTAGGATTAACATATTTACTTCCCATTTCGCAGGCGCTATATAACCCTTAAGGGTTTAACGTTTCCATAAGAATGTGATAGTAATTTAGCAACTAGAACTGAGTATACTACAAACTCTGATCATACAATAGAACGAAAAAATGTGAGACCTGGGAGTGGTAATGACTGTGGGATCTCAGTTTCAAGGATCACAACTGCGAAGAAAATGATAGGATGGATAATGAAAACATTCAAAACAAGAGATGCCAAGCCAATGATGATCTTTTTCAAATCATTTGTTCTTTCTACGCTGGAATATTGCTGTACATTAACTTCTCCGTCCAAAGCCGGTGAAATTGCAGATTTACAGAGTGTACAGAGAACTTTTACTGCACATGTAAGTTCTATCAAACACCTTAACTACTGGGGAACGCTCGGAAGCACTTGTACTCGCTGGAACGTAGGTGAGAAAGATACATAATAATCTACTCTTGGAAAAATCCCAGTGAAAGACTGGGCAGGCGGTGCAAAATACCTCCATTGAAAAGTAGGGGCACCATTGGTACACTGAGAAAATACCATAAGTGTCCGGGGCCTAAGACTGTTCAACAGCTTCCCACCATGCATAAGGGGAATTACCAATAGGCCCCTGGCTGCCTTCAAGAGGGAGCTGGACAGATACTTAATCGGTACCGGATCAGCCGGGCTGTGGTTCGTATGTTGGAGTACGTGCGGCCAGCAGTAACAGCCTGGTTAATCAGGCCCTGATCCACCGGGAGGCCTGGTCGTGGACCGGGCTGCGGGGGCGTTGATCCCCACAGCCCGGTCCTGTTCTCCGTGGCTTCAAAACCGTTTCCCTGCCGTGGTCTGGTAACTACACTCGCATATTCTCTCTGGGAGGTCACGGGTTCAATTCCTGGAAAGAGGATCGAGCCTTCATTTCACCATCACTTTCTCTTCCCTCCCTGACGCTTGGGTCACCTTTACTCGTGTTGGGGATGTGGCTTGTGTTTATGGGTAGGGGTGGCTTTGTGGCTTGTGTTTATGGGTAGGGGTGGCTTTGTGGCTTGTGTTTATGGGTAGTGGGGTCCTTCTGACTTGTGTTTAGGGGGAATGGGGTCCTTGTGGCTTGTGTTTGGGGGTAGGGGAAGTGACCGTTGTCTCTGGGAGAGGAGCCACACTTCCCACAGGCTACTTACTTGACTAAGAACGAAGCATCTCCGGCATCATTGGTATCCATATTTCCCCTTTCGTCTAAACTTACTGACACTACCGGTGACACAAAACTAATAATGGATATGGACTGCTGAGTGTGAAGAACAGACGCTGAAGAACTCTTACTTGCTTTGTGATTATAATGAACTGGCCACGACAGTAGCAAGGCTATAATTATTATATATTGATAGTGCAAAATTTTATATTGGACAGTGAATATGTTTAAAGCGTTGAATAACCAGACGATTATGTCTGGTAGCATGGAGGTATGTTGTAGGCAACCTGGGTGGTTCGTGACATGTTTAACGAGGTGTATTGTGTTGCAGGCAACCTGGGTGGTTCATAACATGTTTAACGAGGCGTATTGTGTTGCAGGCAACCTGGGTGGTTCATAACATGTTTAACGAGGCGTATTGTGTTGCAGGCAACCTGGGTGGTTCATAACATGTTTAACGAGGCGTATTGTGTTGCAGGCAACCTGGGTGGTTCATAACATGTTTAACGAGGCGTATTGTGTTGCAGGCAACCTGGGTGGTTCGGTCGACGGACGAGGATGGAAAGATACTTGATGTTGGCTGCGACAACGGTAGTGTTTGCTGTGGTGGCTCTCTCCATCTCCCTGGCTGCTGTGGTCTATGGTTACCGTAGCGGCCTGCTGAAGACTGATGGTACGACCACCCTTACCACCACCCATAAAATGTTTCAGCTGACTTGGAAAATCCATGTTTTAGGAGTGGTAGTGTGTTAAAGACACCAGGGATAAGATTATACATTAATTGTAAATGATATACAGTAACATAACGTAAAAAAACTATTCTGAAGAGCGCATCTTCTTCAAATACAGTTAGAAAAGTGCGTAAACTGAATAGCTATTCAATTTTAGATACATTGCTTTCAATCGTATTTGCAAAAATATGTCCTGAAGGTTTAACTGGGACTTGGTGTTCTGCAAGTGGTGTAACTAGGACCTGGTATTTTCTTGTAGGTAGTATAACTAGTAGCGTTATGGAAAAGAGGCTATGTTTCAGGATTAAAATTTAGCTGGGTTTGGTAAAAACTTATTTTAGGACTTGCAAATGTCATACGGGTGTTGTAGGAGGGACCTGGTGTTCAGTTAGGTCTAGTTATTCTTCTGCAGTAGTCTTACAAAACGAGTAAAATTATCATTATCATTTAGTGTAAATATTTACTGTAGTAGTGTCGGATAGGCTGCAAGGTTAGAGGTCAGAAGGATCCTGCAGGAGGTGTGGCTGGTTCCTGGAATTATTCTAAAGGAGGTGTAGCTGGTACCTGGAATCCTCCTGCAGGAAGTGTGACTGGGACCTGGAATCCTCCGGGAGGGGGGTGTGGCCGGTTTCCTGGAATCCTCCTGCAGGAAGTGTAGGCAAAAGTGGGCCCAGAAGAACAATACTTTTAAAATTGTTTTTCCCTCGTGGGAAAAAATCGGTCTCCAAATCTTCTAAACCCATTTCCCCCCTTCATAATAAAGGAAGGGGGTGAGAGGGGCGGGAAAAGGGGGTGCCTTGATGCTTAAACGAAAAGGGGTCTCGGGTCTAAGGAATTTTAAAGGGTTTCCCCTTTTCCCCTTTCCCCGGGGTCAAACGTGTTTTTCCCCCCTCGTTGCCCCCCTCCCCCAAGACGCTGGGGAATTTTCCGAATCAGTTGGGAGAGTCTTGTGTGCGCACGCGGGACGATGTTTAAATTTTCCCCCCGGGCCAGGGCTTCCGAGCATCCCGTGGAAAGCGTAAACCCGTAAAGGGCCCCCAGGTGAGTTACGGCGATCATTCCTTTGATTTCCCGGGAAGGCTATTTTTTAAATTTTCCTTTGGATCAAGACCCCCCTACCGGGATCGAGGCAGCCCCCCCTTTCAGGTGATGGAAGTTTTTTACAAAGGGAGGGTTATGGAAGGTCGTTGGTTGATGGGGGGGGAGTTTTTTAATATTAAGTTGAAATACCTGTTCCCTAAACCCAGATTTTTTTAGTCCCCCAAAATTGTTTTGTGTGTGTATTATATATATAATTATGTATATATATATATATATAAATATATATTTTATAAATTTTATATAATGGGATTATTTATATTTTATAAATTATATATATATATATGTATATATTAAACATGTTAAAAAATGGTTTAAAAAGCAAGAAACATTTAAAAAATTTAAATCCTTTCTAAAAAAAAATTTTTTATAAAGTTTAAAGATACATTTTTTCATTAATGTTAATGTTTAATTTTTTTTTAAATTTTTCACCAAAAGAATCTTAGAAAAATTACCCCTAACCTTATTTTAACCCAAAAAAATTTTTTTTTAGCCTAACCCAATAAATAATTTTTTTGATTTGTTTACAATAAATTTTAAAACTAGCAAAACAGTGAAATATATTTTTTTCGTTTTGGCTCAGAATGGGTTTTTTGGGGAAAAATTTTTGCATACACAAATTTTCACTTTTTCCCCATATGGGAAGATGAGCGTTTCTATTTAAGCCCAAAAAACGCCCCAAATTTGCTTTCGGGGACGACATATATATATTTAAAAGGGGATTTCAGCTAGCTCTAAAAGGTTTGGGTAGTGATGCGGGGAAAGGGGGGGGGAAAAAAAGAGGAAAGGAAAAAGGGGGAAGGGAGATGAAGCAAGACCAATTTGGGATGAGGTAATGATTGGGTGGGTTTCACCGAGTCTCACTGTGATGTATTTTTTGACCTTTATGTGGTTTGGGGTATTGTGGTTTGGTGATGATAGTGGGGTTTGTGTGGTGAAGAAAGTTTGGGGGTGTTTTGTTGGGGTGGTGGTGATGGGTTGTGGGGTATGGGTGGTGTTTATGGTGGTGTATGTGGGGTGATGGGGATGATAGTGGTGGGATGTGTGGTGATGATGGTGGGGTTTTTTGGACCCTGATGATGGTTTTGGGATGTGTGGGGGGATGGTGATTTAGTGGGTATGTGTGGTGGTTGGGGGGTGTTTGTGTGGGTGATGGTTTGGGGTATGTGTGGGGGATGATGGTGGGGTATGTGTGGTGATGTTGGGGGTGTAGGGGTTTTGGGGGTGTTTGGGGGTGAAGTGTGGTGATGATTTTGGTGTATGTGTGGTGATTTATAGTGGTGTATGTGTGGTGTTTTAAAGTGGTGTTTGGGGTGTTTATGTGGGGGTAAAGTGTGGGGGTGAGGGTGTGGGGTTTGTGTGGTGATGGTGGTGTATGTTTTTGGGGATGGGGTTTATGGTGGTTTTATGTTGGGGTTTGGGGGGTGTATGTGTGGTGAGATGTAGTGGTGTATGTGTGGTGTTTATGGTTTTATGTGTGGGGATATTGTTTTTGAAAATGTGGTTTATATAGTGGGGTATGTGGGTGTATGGGGGTATGTGGGGTGGTGTTTATAGTGGGGTATGTTTGGTGATGATGGTGGTGGGATTGGGGTGAGGTGATTGGGTGTATGTTGGGGTGGGGATGATAGTGGTGTATTGTGGGGGGTGGATGATGTATGGGGGGGTTTATGGTATAGTGGGGTTGTGTGGTGATGGTGGGTTTTTGGGGGTTTTTGTGGTGATGGGTTTGGGGTTTTTTGGGGGGTGATGGGAGGATAGTGGTGTAATGTGTGGTGTTTGGGAAAGTTTTTTGGGGGGGTTGGTGGTGTTTGGGGTGATAGGGGGTTTTGTTTGGGGAGTGGGGATAGAGGGGGGGGGTTTTGGGTTTGGGGGGGGGTGTGGTGATAGAGGGGGGGGTGGGGAAATGGGTGGGGGGGGGGATAGAGGGGGGGGTTTGAAAAGGGGGGGGTTTTTTGGGTAGAGGGGGGGGTGTGGTGGAGAGGGGGGGGTGTGGTTTTAGGGGGGGGGGGGTTTGGGTGGGGGGGGGGTTTGTGGGGGGGGTTTTGTTGGGGGGTTTGGGGGGGGGGGGGTGGTTTTGGGGGGGGGTGTGGTGTTAGGGGGGAGGGGGGGGGGGGGGTTGGGGGTGGTGTTGGTGGGGGTTGTGTGGGGGGTGGGTGGGGGGGGGGGGGTTGGGGGGGGGTGGTTTGGGGGGTTGGGGGGTTTTGAGGGGGGGGGGTTTGGGGGGGGGGTTTTTGAGGGGGGGGTGGGGTGGGGGGTGGGTGTGGTTAGAGGGTGGGGGGGGTGGGGTTTGGGGGGGGGTGGGTTTTGGGGGTTTTGGTGTTTTTGGGGGGGGGTGGGGAGAAGAGGGGGGGGTGGGGTAGAGGGTGGGGGGTGGTGTTGAGGGTGGGTGTGGGGGTTTATAGGGGTGGGGTGTTTGGGGTAGGGGTGGGGGGTGGGGTAGGGGTTTGGGGGTGGGTTTTTGGGTGGGGGTTGGGGATAGAGGGGGGGGGTGTAGTGGAGGGGGGGGGGGGTGGGGGTGGGGGGGGGGGTGTATTGGGGAATGGGGGGTGGTGAAAAGAGGGGGGGGGGGGTGGTTTAGAGGGGGGGGGTGTGGTTTTAAGGGGGGGGTGTGGTGTAGAGGGGGGGGGGGTGTGGGGGAGAGGGGGGGTGTGGGGTTTGAGGGTGGGTGGGGTGTAGGGGTGGGGTGTGGTTTTAGGGGGGTGGGGGGTGGGTAAGGGTGGGTGGGGGTGTTTTGAGGGGGGGGTGTGGTGTAAAAGGGGGGGGGTGTGGTTTATAGAGGGGGGGGTTGGGGGGGTTGTGGGAAGGGGGGGGTGTGGGGAAGAGGGGTGGGGTTTTGGTAGAGGGTGGGGTTTTTTGTGTAGAGGGGGGGTGTGGTTTTGGGGGGTGGGGTTTTGGTGAAAGGGGGGGGGGGGTAAGTGTTTGAGGGTGGGGTGTTTGTAGGGGTGGGGGTAGTTTAAGGGTGGGGTTTTGGTGGGGAAAAGGGTGGGGGGGGGTTTATGTTTGAGGGGGGGGGGTGGGGATAGAGGGGGGGTGTGGTGAGAGGGTGTGGTGGAGAGGGTGGGGGTGGTGGTGTTTTTGGGGGGGGGTGGGGTGTAGAGGGTGGGGTTTTGGTGTTTAAGGGGGTGGGGGTTTAAAGGGGGGGGTGTGGTGTTTGAGGGTGGGGTGTTGGGTAGGGGTGGGGGGGTGGTGTAGAGGGTTTGGGGGGTGGTTTTAGGGGTGGGGGGTGGGGGGGAAGGGGGGGGGTGGTGATTTGGGGTGGGGTTTTGTAAGGGTGGGGGGGTGGAAGGGGTGGGGGTGTGGTGATAGAGGGGGGGGGTGGTGTAGAGGGTGGGGGGTGGTTTTAGAGGGGGGGGGTTTTAGAGGGTGGGGGGTTTGGGGTTAAAGGGGGTAGTGTAAGGGGGGGGGAGTGTTTTGGGGTGGGGGGTTTTTGTGTAAGGGTGGGGGGTGGGGTAGATTGTGTGGTGTTTGGGGTGGGGGGGTGGGGGTAGAGGGGGGGGTGAGTGGGAGAAGGGGTGGGGGGGGGTTTTTGTAGAGGGGGGTTTTGGGGGTAGAGGGTTTTGGTGTAGAGGGGGGGGGTTTAGTGTAGAGGGGGGGTGTGGTTTTAGAGGGGGGTGGTGTGGTTTAAAAGGGGGGGGTGTGGGGAAAAGGGTGGGGTGTGGTTTTAAGGGGTGGTGAGAGGGTTTTGGGGGTAGGGGTGGGGTTTTTTGTGTAGAGGGGGGGGGGTGGTTTTTTAGAGGGGGGGGTGTGGGGTAAGGGGGGGTGTGGGGTAGGGGGGTGTGGTTTTAGAAGGGGGGGGTGTAGGTAGAGGGGGGGGGTTTTGGTAAAGGGGGGGGGGTGTGGG